GGTGATGAAGTAGCTCGTCTATGCCTTCCTTGGCTTCAGAGTCTAGCTTAGGTCACACCAGTCAAGAAATGAGGCATACAATGGCATTAATTCTATTGGAATTGCATATACAACTCTTTTAAGTGTTCCATGGCCAAACTTCAGTGATTCCAACTGGGATTTTGTTAGTGAAGATTGGGATTGGCTAAGACTTCGTTCTAGGAAGAATGTTTATATCAGGGAGAGTGTTAGAGGATGCTGGATGTTAACATATTTGGCCTCTTTATGAGCCCTCTGACTAATACTACTGTTCCATGTTCTTTCCTTTACTTTGTAAGTAAAGTTTTGCTGCCCTTGCTTTAATCATTCTTTTGCAGAAAGCCATTTCTTAAACATTACAAACAAAACTTCCATGAATTCAACTATGTTCTTTCGTCTATTCCTTAATGATTAGTATGAGAAGAGGGGTGACTTTTTAAATAATTATTTTGAGATTAAATATGCCCCAAACAAATATGATAAAAATCAGAGGATATATGGAAGTTTATGTCTCTGTGCATAAATAATCCCCCCACAAGAAGTTATGCATGGATGGCTGTTTCCCTTTGAAATGGATTTTTTTCCTAAAATATAGAAAAACCTAAGAAAATAAAATAGAATCATGAATCATGCAGGCCTCGTTCAGTATTTGTCTTTGTCAGTTTTAGTGGCCCGCCCATCACAGTTTAAAAAGAAATGTTGACTCTTGGCCCAAAATGCTAAATTTGACCTTTGTGAATAGGGAATGCCTGTCCTTCCTGTGCAAGTTGGGTAGGACAACCCTAACTCCTGATGACCAAGCAAGTGCTCTTTTTAATCTTTGGAAAGGCTGTGTGGCAAGGAATTTGCAGCTTATGTCATGCTAAGTTTCATTTGGGGTCTGACCCAGCATTTCATTGTCACAATATCGAATTTAGCTTGCTTTCTAGAATATGTCATCTACAGCACACTCGTGTGATTCCGTACCACGTTTTGATCCCCTTTGAAATGCCAGAAGCCCAGCATGTTGCCTATGAAAGATTCGTAAAGATTTAGCACATATTTTCATATGACATAACTGCCAAAATGAGAAAAATTGCTTTAACTGTCAAAGTAAAAATATACCGCCCGATGTTTTGCTCAGTGTGGATCCAAGATGAGACAAGATCGGGTCTGTTGAGGGTGGTATAGCTGTGGATTCAGTGTGGGCTCAAATGTCAACTTTTTCATGGACAGCAGAATTTAAATACTAACCCATTTAACTGTAATATTAAAAATAATATAACTACATGATAAACTTAGAAAATGGCCCATGATGCAATCACCTAAATACTACCATCATTTTCTACTCATTTTGGTTTGAATACCTATTTTTTTTATGTAACTGTAACCAGGTATGATTCATATTTTATCTTCTTTTCTGATTTACATTTGCAGTGATTTTTCCATATTGCTTCACAGCCATAATTTTAATGTCTTCTAATATGCAACAGCATGGCTATACATTATTTACTTACACCGTACCCTGTTATAAGATGAACTACACTGTTTTCAATTCATTTTATCATTATAAAAACTACTACAGGTAGTGACCCTTCAAGTTGTTTGGGTTTTCCGTTGCCCATGTTTTGTTGCCAACCATTTCAGGTGCTGATTGTTTAAGCCATGTCTTGTCTCTGGAGCACATCTATCTCTTTTTCACTAATGTGACATCATAGCAGACTGAGAGTGACCAGTAATTGATTTTTTAATGGTGTTTTCTATATTGTGACATCTCTTCTGAAGTTTAAGTTAAAGTTTAGAGAAGTCTTCAAAGCAGAAAACCACAGTACTTTCTTTGTTGTTATTCATACAACCTCATTTCCTTTATGACTGCCATGTATGCTAGTGACAGAAGTGGAGTAGAAATTGATTTTGAGACTATGGCCCTTTTGAAGTTGCTCAGAGAGAAGCTTGAGAAAACCTCTGATTGTCTGTGGCCTGTAATAAACCTGCATCTCGCATGTTGATGGAGAACTTGTACAACTCTTTGCTTATCTACAGAAACCGTACAAACATGTCCTTACTGAGTCTTGATAGGGATTGATGTTTTAATGTCTGCGGTCAAGCTAGGAAGTGGCCTATGTCAGCTACGTTTAACCTAATTCTTGGGAACAGTGCCCATACCCCCTAGAGCAACACTGTGAGATCCTAACGGGGTGGTGTTTATAGTCTGTTATAAGAATGGCATTCATTCATTTTAAGAGAAGGAGCTAGTGAGTTGCAGGTGGCTAATGTTCACCTCTGGATAGTTTTAGACAGATCTGATCTAATAAAGATGCAGTTTCTCTTGGATAGAAGATAAACCCCAAGTTTGTGTGCCAGCAGATACAGTAGTTCATATTACAGCAGGGCCATTATGTTACTGGAAAGAAGGAGGAGTGTGTGAGTGAGTGCTGATTTTATTTTCTAAAATACTCTGTAATGGCTCCTTAGCTCAGGCTCACAAAAGAAGCTTTAGACTTCCAGAGCAGTTTGGAGGGGGTGTTAAATAAAGTTTCCCTTCCTATACAAGGGGGGCTGATAGTGGCTTCTGAAACTGGAATTACCTCATCTCTGCAACCTCGCCAGAATTCATGCACTCAGCATTGGAGGAAGAGGATGGACTGTGGTTCCGTAGGGAAACTTGACACAGCACAGGCCTGCTGCATTTGCTCTTCAGCTCCAAAATACTGAGATGATTTGGGTGGTCTCAGCTTCAGCTCCCATTTAGTCACACTGTTGAGCCAGCGGTGGGGTGTGGTGCCAGGCAGGTGGGAGCATTTATAAGGCAGTGTCATAGTTCTGTAAAAGCAGGTATCCTTTTGGGCCAGACACACTAACAGAAGCATGGGGGAGGATGGGTGTTTGGAATAGACTCTTATTTCTTGGCTTGGTCCTATTGGAAGAAGCAGCGGGTAAGTTGGTCTTTCCCAACAATAAGCATGGAGCCCACCCTAATGCTTACTGGTTGGAGGTAGAAGTAGGGAAGGTGAGGGGATGATCATACCAAAGAAACATCTAAGTAGGTATCCTTTTATACCACCACTTACCATCTTTAGAATGTATTTGAAAAGTTAATATATAGAAGCACTAAGCAAAAAAAAAAAAAAAAAAAAAAAAAAGATGGAGAACCTTCTGAAGGCGGAGGAAACCCTAAATCCCCGAAACACTGAAGCCTGAAGTTGTGAGAGGGTTTAGGCAGGAACCTACCACACTGCGAGGTCTAAAACCTACAATGCAAGGTTCTGTAGGATCAGGTCTAAGCGGGGCAGGAGACGGGAAGTGGGCCATGGGGGAACTGGTCTAGAATGTTACAGCACCTAGTTAATCGGCAGCCAGTCCATCACATTAGATTTCCAGCCGTCACGTATTACCTTTCAAGTGAAAATGAATAACTCCCATTAAGAGCAAAATGGGTTTGAAGTCGATTCGAGACAGATTAAAGTACTGTTATGAATCTGTGTGTTGGGAGGAGGAGGGGTCTATGTGTAATATGCTTGTCCTTGTACTTTTTAAATAATAGATGTCCTCCAAACTTATGTAGACCAGGTTACCAAGACACAGGGGTTAAAAGTCACAAGATGTGCATTCTGGGAAGAGCATCAACTTCCTGGAATATTTCCTGTGTTTGGCAAATTTTTTTTTAGAATTATTTTGTGGCCTTCTGATTTTATGAATAAAATTGATTTTTGAAAATTATTATTATTAAAGTGCACATCTGTAATGACAACACCTTAGTGTCCATGACAGAACAAATTTTAAAGTTGAACATAAAGTGAAAGTGCATTCTAGACAACTAGACAGGGTGAGACGGACAGCAGTTTTATCACAGGGCAAAAATTCGGCGTTCTAAGCCAGTGACCTAAATTGCTGACTCACACTGTTTGTTGAGGACAGCATTGGGTATATATATCCTCACTAGCATTTTCAGGATTTCTTTTTTCCTTATTGCTTTAAGCAAAATTCTGGAAAATGGAAGTTCCATGTCCAAAATAAGTAAAAGATCAACCCTTGCAGACTGACCGGACTTTAGAATGACCAAGTCTAACCATGTTGGACGCTGTGTTTACACTGGAGGATCCTTGCTTCTCCTGATCAAACCCATAGCCCGGCTGTTTCCTCGCCATGATCTTCAGGGTCCTTTATGTGCTTCAGAGAACTCCTTTCACTGATACCTTCATTCCTGCTGTTTGTTATTCAAACCTCCTGTGCTTCTCCTCATTAATTGATGTTTTCATTTTTTTGATGGCGTGGGCAAGAGGGGTGCAGAGGCGTGGTTGTGCAAGCAGATAGGAAACTTTCCTTCTTACCACCCACTCTGAATAAATGCTCACATGTGAAGCAATGGCTCGATTATAACTTGGATTCACGCCCCGCCTAGTTCCACTCCTCAATTATTTCTTCCCTGAAAGCAAACTGCTGAACCAAATCTTGCTTTTTTTCTGTGTATTGGTATGCAGCTGTCCCTTGAACCCTTCTCAAGTTCTGCAGGCTGCCTGTAATACGCTCTGTTGTGATTCTAAAAGGTGGGACAGTAAAGTTGCGGGCACAGTTTCTTACCTCACTGAAGCAGAGTGTGTCTCATACTCAGATTGGCTAAGCAGTGGGAGAGATTTTACCACCCACCCTCAGCTCTGTTGCCCCCCACAGAGAGAAGCCAGCAGACTGTGCTTAGGGGGGAAGGTTAGACAAGACTGCATTTAGCTTAATTCAACTCCAGAGCCTTTTATTCTATTTTCTAAAACCTTTTCCCAATGTTCAGTTGTGAAGGTAGTGACAGAAATTCATGGAGGAAAAAAGAAACACTTGCTTCGTTTCCAGCACGCTTGATAAGTCACTCCGGATGTTCATCCTTTCTGAATTTTTGTGTTGTAAGAAAATCGTGTGCTATAAATGAATGCTGATTTTCACCCAAAACAAACCCTCTGGGAGCTGGCCTGCTCTGGCTACTACTGTATTGCATCTTCCACTTTTTCTCCTAGCCTCATCCAGCCAAGCAGAGAAGGAGCTGACGGATTCTCCTGCTGCCTCCAAACGCATCTCCTTCCCAGGTAGCTCGGAGTCTCTGCTCTCTTCGAAGCGACCAAAAACATCTGAAGAGATCAAACCGGAGCAGGTGAGGCCAGAAGGCACCGTGTTGGCGGGCATAATGTTTTCACACGGGTGGGGAATGAACTTTCCTGTGGTGGGCTTGGGACGGAAACAGTGGGAATGGCAGATTCAGCCAGAGCGGTGGGTGTGTCCCCACAGATGTACCAGTGCCCGTACTGCAAGTACAGCAACGCCGACGTGAACCGGCTGCGGGTGCATGCCATGACACAGCACTCCGTGCAGCCCATGCTCCGCTGCCCCCTGTGCCAGGACATGCTCAACAACAAGATCCACCTTCAGCTGCACCTCACCCACCTCCACAGCGTGGCACCGGACTGCGTGGAGAAGCTCATTATGACGGTAAGGTTCCAAGGGTAGATCCTGTCGCCTTTCTTCCTGCAGGGGTCACTACCCCAATGCAGTGACATTGCCCATGGTCTGTGTTGTTGGTAGACAGAGCCGCTGTGAAGTTGGAAGCATCAGAAAGTCATCCTACTTCTGTGACCTTTGTTCTAGAGTGCCTGCCATAGACTTGCATGACCATGGCCTGATGATCGCTCTAAGTGTTGTACGTGTGTTTCTCCATAGGAAGAAACCATACCCAGGTTCTCCAAAATTTTATTGAACAGGTCACGGTCTGGGTTGCTGTTATATGCATTATGTCTCATTTCATCCATACAACAAACCTTGTCTTAAAAAAATGAAGTCTGACATGTTCCCATTAACAGATAAGGTAGGTGAGGCTCAAAGAAGTCAACTGACCTGATACCCTTTGTAAGTGATGGAGTTGAAATTTGAACCCACATCTTCCAACTCTAGGTGTAGCCCTATAACATAGGAGTTTCTTAGGTGGATACTTTGTTCTCAAAGCAGGAAAGCTGTCAGTTGGGTGTAACGTGTCAATTCATCAGTTTGGCTTCGCACTTAAATATGATGCTGACATACAGGTTTTGAAAGAATGACTCTTAAGTGGCTGCTATAAATATGGTCCAAAAGTCTAGTATACAGATTCAGTTCTACCCCAGACGTGGTGGTGCATGCCTGTAATCCCAGGTACATGCCTGTAATCCCGGCACTTGGGAGTCTGAGGCCAGAGGATCACTGCAAATTCAAGCCAGCCTAGGTTACATAGTGAGTTCAAGGCCAGACTCTGCTATCTAGCAAGACCCTGCCTCCACCCCACCCCCCGCCCAGTTTAATTCTAATCATAATGTGAAAACCTTTCAGAATACTATAGGTAGTGGTGATGTTCTGCTTTTGACTATATTGGAGCTACTGGGAAAGTTCTTCCCTGATCACAAGAGGAAAAGCTGCCAAAAAGAATGATTCTCACCTCTACGTTAGTATTATTTCAACAGTGGAGTCATATGAAATTAATTTGATTGCCTTTTCATGGGAAGATTCCCAGAGATGTAGCTTGTTCAGAAATCTGCATTGTAACATGCAAGTCACAGACATATCACCTCTAGGCATTTCCTATTCCATCTGGTTATGTACAGTTAATGAATAAGGTAAGTGATGTTTAGTCATGAGGAACATATATTGATGATGTATCAAGAGAACTTTAGAACTGGGCATGGTGGCACACACCTGTAATCCCAGCACTCGGGAGGCTGAGGCAGGAGGATCTTTGCGAGTTTGAGACCAGCCTGGGCTACAAAGTGAGCTCAAGGCCAGCCTGAAATGCATAGGGAGACCCTGTTGCAAAAAGACTAAAAAAAAAGAACTTTACCAGCCAATGGGAAACTCAAAGGTGACTACCACGAGCTTCCTCATAGGTGGCTTTCAAATACGTATTCACTTTTCATGAGCATTTTGACACAGGCAAAGTGAACTTTGTGGAAACGTTCTCTGTAAATTGAATAGATCCTCCTCCTATGGATGGATGAATTTCCATGTTGTAGGGTTTCCCTGGCATTCTTACTAGTTCTGGAAATACCAAAGGGGTTTTTCCAGGCCTTGTCTGAGTTCCTAGCTAATGGCCTGGAACCCTAGGAGGAACAGAAAGAGGTGTGAAGAAGGAAACGTTCCAATACTTAATGATATTTTTCTTTTGCTCAAGTGGTTATTTTTGCTGTTTAATATAAATCTAGTGTAAGAACTGTGGGCTTATAGTACTCTGCACTACTGGTTTACATTAGACAGTAAAAATTTATTTTTACATCCTTAGAGATCAGCATAGCATGTAAATTATATTTCACTGTCATATTTTCATAGCAGCAATAGCAAGGTACATTTCAAGTGGTAAGTCTGGTGATCGTTATGAATCTCCATTTACCAACAGAGTATTCAGGGGAAGGATATTACTGTTGTTTGCTTGGGAACCAATCTCATTTCTGAGAATTACCCACTAGCCAGCACCTTTGCAAGCAGTGATTCTCAGCTTTTTTCAGAACGGATGAAAACAATACAACAGCCATCCTGGGCTATTCTCTACCCAGTAAAACTTAGTGAGCACTGTTAGAGGCCCTCTGTCAAGTATTCTGTAAATACAAAATTGCAAGTACAGTGCCAGCGACCATAGGATGCATTCATGGAGCTGCCTAATAAACCCCTTTCTTGAGCTCCTTGCAACATAGTTATATAGGAGAAATGCCTCCGTGAGAGGGCTGGGCCTGGTATGTCTCACAGAAAGCCCTGTTGCCTCATCTTTCCACAGCAGGCAACACAGGTGCTTTCTGGACATTTCAAAAAAGTGTGTAAATTGTAGGGAATGTGTTAGTTATAAGAAGTCAGTTTGCCAGGAACAAGAGAAAATTAATGGATTCTTAAAGCTGATAGTTATGAGAATGTGGGAAATACAACCATGGAGGTGTTTTCCTTTGTACTTCAAAGTGAAGGATACTTTTGTATACTTTCTTTACATGGGAAGGTGGAGTTTGGCTGTCGGTGTTGAATTGGATTTCCTAGTCGTGGCAATGGTTTGCATTGGACCCAATGATGCATTGCTGCTTCAGTCCTCCAGTTCCACTGGAAAAGAACAACAGTGATGCTGGAGGGGAATGTGTGGCCATGTCAGGTGAAGCTGGAGTCCCATTTGAGGGCCGGTGCCAGTGTCCTTCCTCTGAAAAGTTTGGTGTTAAAAGGGAACTTGCAGTGGTTTTACAACCAAGTGATTATAATAAACCTGTGGTTAAAATCATGCTCCTGGTGGGTATTTTACTCTAATTTTATTAGAAAATTGGCCTTTGGAAAGTATTGGTTAGGCTTTGGATGATCTGTTTATTCCCAGCCAACTAGAGGAGGAAACTCTGAAAACAGTCTGATGAGAAATGCCCCGCAAATCAAAGCTCCATTTTCTAAGCCACTAAGGAGCAACCAGTTTCCGGTCCTTCATCCTTCCAGAGAAGAAAGTAGTGCCTGCTTTTCCTTTGAATGGCTAGAATGAATGGCAGTGTGAGGAGCGAATCTTCTTTCTTACCCATTGGGTTTGGCTGAGTGAGGTACCTTTGGCTGCAAAACAAGAAAAGCTGGAAAAATCTCCCAGGTAGATAATTCTTGGCAGACCCGGGATGTGTCCAGTGTATCTAAAGCTATAAATTCTGATAAACATATATATATTTTTTGCTGTCTGGAGTCCAAGGTCTCAGGATCTAGCTTGAATTGGGTTTCAGTCCCTCTAAAAGCGAAGTCCACCCTGATAAATAGAAATAGATTACTTTCTATACAATGTCTTCCCGTTCAGTTGTAAATGGAGAACGTTTTGAGGAGGCTTCATTTAATAATACCTTATCAGACAGCTTTCAGGAACCTGCAGTGTCTAATATGTCTGTTGCTATGGTAACAGCTGCTTGCTTATGCTCTGCATCTCATATCTATGTCTTCTATGGGCCCCTTCTTTTTACTGATGAAGGGGCTTGAAAAATATAATCCACTAGGAACAATTGCAGGGCCGGCCTTCCACTATGGAAACTGCACCCACAGCACTTCATTTTGCTTTGCCCATTGGAACCAGAGCTCCAAATGGTAATTTTGCACACGTCATAGGAAAGAAGGACATCTATAAAGCTTAGAGGAGATGAGTTAAGTATCCCTCCACAGCTGCTATGCAGCTCCCGCTCCCCCTCCCCCATATCCTTTTCACATATCTAAGTCTCATGAGTATTTGCAGAGAAGACGGAGATTTCAAACTGGTGTGAGCGATCCAGGAGGGACTACTCTGTGCTCTTATTTCCCAGTCTTTTGGGGAAGGAGATTTAAGGGCACGGGGCACATGTTTCTGGCCCCTAAAAGAGAATGAGAAAGACCACCTACCATGCGTTTCAGTACTCTTAAATTATTCTAATTGATCACTGTCTTTCTAAGTGACAGGACATACCACTGGGATCCCGGATCATTAATATGGGGAAATTTTCTTTGTTCTTTAATCACTTAACAAAGTAGGACCTTACAGTGGAGATGCGGCTGGGCTGTGAGGCCAGGAACCCCTTCTTCTCTCTTTCTAGTTCTTATTCCTTAATTTTTGTACATGCGCAGATTTCCTTTCTGTGCGCCTGGCCCGGCCCTGCCTGCTGTTTTCTCTGCATCCCTCCTTTGGGAGCAGTGGTTTTGCCTCCTGTGATCGGCAGTCAGTGTCTGTGACTCTCTGTGCTCCATGTGTAACTGTGCTCTGTGAGTCTGGGGCAGGCTGGCCACCTGCCCCTCCTTCCCACCCCACAGGGACTCTCCGATGGCCCTGGCCCTAGGGCTGTCGCACCCACCTGGGTATCCGCTCTTTCACTTTGTCTCCATCTCAGAGGAAAGTAATGAAAATAATCGGGCTTCATTAATTCCAAGCCCTGTGAGATGATAGCCATTTGGAGCCTGTTTGCCAATTAGATGGTCTAAATTAGAAGTGACCTTGGTATACTGCCACTGCTTGCCTCTCTGAGTCTAATGAAGCTTTTCTCTCCAATTCATTCTCTTCCTCAGCTCCCTTCTGTGTGTGTATGCACACATGTGTATATAGCTGTTACGTGTTCCCTGTCTATTCCCCACCCCCCATCTTTCTCATTTTCAGTTTTTAAAACCTAGTTCTGGTCTACATGTTTCTGGCCATATGAATGTTAGCATGGCCTGCAGTTTTTTCTTGTGAATTTTATGTATGAAAAACAACTGCATAAATTACACAGAAGCCTGATTAGAAAGAGGAGGGATGGGAGAAGTTTGTGGATGGGCACAAAGTTACAGTTAGATAGGAGGGGTACATCCTTGTGTTCTGTTGCACAGTATGGTGACTACAGTCCACAACGTTATGTATTTTAAAACATGCAGAAAGGATTTTCAGTGTTTCCCTACAAAGGAATATCTGAGGTGATGTACGTGGTAGTTACAGAAAGTATACGTATATGGAAACATATATGGGTACAATTATGTATCAA